CCCAGGTAACAAGTAGTGGGACAAAGGGAGATGGATTTAAGCTGTGCCAGGGGAGGTTTAGACTGGATATTAGGAAAGTTTTCTTCACTGAAAGGCACTTTAATTAATTTTACTTAAGCACTAGGACAGCCTGCCCAGTGCAGTGGTGGATCAGTATGTGTATATGTGGCACACAGGAACATGGTTCAATAGTGCACCGGACAGTGCTGGATTTATGGTTGGACACAATGATCTTAAGGGTCTTGTCCAGCCTAAATTATTCTGTAATTCTGTGATTCCATCTTTAATGGTCTCTTCTAACCTAAACCATTCTATGATTCTACAATTCTATGATTTCTTCTTGTTTGTCTTCTAGAAAATTAGAACAAAATCTGTTCTGCTTTGCTTGCTGACCTAAATCTCAGGCTGACATTGAGGCAGGATTTCTGCTTCTGTCATTTCAGTCCTTTCTCTCTTTTTAACCTTCAGAACTTACCACCTCACAGAGCATTTCCTGAATTGTTGCAGCAATGAAAGAGGATTTGGGGGACATGGGAGTGGCCACGAACATGTGGAAGACTGTTGCTGTGACCATACCCTGCCTCTTTCAAAGTTTTTTTGGTTCCTGGTAAGGAAATAGGAGGGATTTTTTCTATGTGGAAATAGCCAATGGGGACTATTACTTAGCATTCCCAGAAGTCCCAAACATACACAAAATACGGACACAGGAAAAATTAAAAATTAAGCAGAAAAGTCTTTGGTGATGGTGTTGTGAGACAGAAGCCTGGACAGAGGAAGATAATAATATTTACTGACCCCCAAGGACTATATTTCAATGAATATTGTCCTTTGCAAAACTCCAAGAGCGAGTTACCAGTAGCAGGACCCACAACAGAGTATATATGGAAAAGCTGTTTCCAAGGGAGCAGTTTTTAAGCTGATTGAAATCTGCATAATTCCAGTGAAATCAAGACAGTGAGAGACTGAGGAGTGAGAGCACAGCCTTAACCTTCTCTAAGGAAAAAACAGAATCATTAAGGTTGGAGAAGACCTCTAAGATCACCAAGTCCAACCGTTAACCCAGCACTGCAAAGCTGAAATAAACTCCTCTGGGTTCCTGCAAAAACTGCAAGTGTTTGGATGTCTCATCCTTGTTTAAACACCCTCTGGACCTGCTTTATTTTTCAAAGACAGCACATCCTGCAGGAGCAGAGAAATCAGAATTAGGTGGGGGAGCAGAGGCAGAGCCCTGTGTCTAACAGGCATCTTGAGGTCCACTTGTTGCAACTTCAGAGCATGAGAGAAAGGGAAAGGTCAGCTTAATCCTAAATCTGTGTCCCTGCCTTACAAACAGGCTTTTAGAAAGGGAGAGGAGGGTGCAAGTGCTGCTTTCTTCCCCTCCAGTAAAAAAATTATCTGTAGATGGAACAGAGAGGATGCAGGGCCTCTGTCAGCTCTTCCTCCCTATCAGAATTTTGCTGACAACATTTCACTCTCAAAGATATTGATTAAATCATTTAAATTTCCCCCTGGCTTAACTTTCTTTTAATATCTTGCAGCTTCTGATGCACTTCCTAATTCCTGAGCTTCAAGGAATAGGTATTGTAGCATCAAATGTAATGTTCAAATGTCTGGAACATGGGATTTTCCATACTGGATCAGGCCATGAAGTCACACTAGTCCCCAGCCTGCCTGATGGCATGACCATTATCTCAGTGCAGAGCAGGCAGTAACCAGGCAAACAGTCTAAATGCTGAATTTTCTTCTTGCCTGAAAATAGCATGGACTTGCCTCGGGGCTCTGAAAGTGGAAAATATCCAAAATATCAAATGATATTTTCTTGGCACTGCTTTTGAATTTTTGTTATTACAAATCTTCTTGAGTAAAAAATTTTCACTTCAGAGTGCAAAATTAAAAGCTTATTATACTGAATTATATATATATATATATATATAACTCTCATATTGATGTTTCAGTAACCTCCTATTTCTTTGAGTAATTTCTGTGTTGGCTCCTGAGCTCTAAAGTTTTTAAATTGCCATAAATAAATAATAATATATAGTGTGTGTACATATGTATGTTCTTACCACAAAAACTCATGTTATGTTTCCCAGTTTTAAAGCCAGTATGGAGTATCCTAGATAAAATATATCTCTTTGCAAAGAAATAACACAAGGGCTTTGCTCTTCCAGTCATGGTTTTTGAGGGATTTAAGCATTTGCTTTTACAAGCTGTGGGGCTTGAACAAAAATGCAAGAGGACACTTAAGTGCTCTGTTAGAATTTGAGATACTGATTTGATGTCTCCAATGTAAACAGGCTTAATGAGAAAATCAATGAACTTATAAGAGATTAAGACAGTCTAGTGTTTGTCATAATCCTTCTCTTTCTTTCAAAAATTTTTATCAACAAATCAAGAAAAAAACTGTACTCCTTTTCCTGTGATAAATATTCCCAAGGAGAGCAAGTACTGGGAGGAGACAGCCGGAACTAGGTGGATGTTCTTTTGCAAATATGATCCAGGAAACTTTCTTGTCTCCGCAAACCCTCAATGTACAAGTCATTAATGTATAATTTTGTTTAACCCAGACACAGCCCAGTTCTGAGGGTTTAAACAGTCAGCAGTTGTCAGCTCAGTGCAGGCACTGACCATGTGCATGTTCTCAGCACCCAGGAAATCTGAAATAAAGCACCTTGGTTTGAACCTCAGTGAGAGAGAATCAAACACAGTGAGTCATGACACTCTTTACAAGGAGCAAGGAGTGTGATTTATCAGCTATCCAGGCTCAACTGACACTCAGAAACTTGTTGAGCTGTGGTTGCTTGTTTGAAACATTATTATAATTCAAATCCAAGTGCTCCAGTATGGTGTGGATATGAGAAAAATCTTTTTTTTTCCACAATGAAGACCATCAAGCAGAGTAACAAGTTGCCCAAAGAGGTTTTGCAGTATCCATTGAAGATTTTCACTGCTCAAAACCCTGAGAAACCAGTTCAGATCTCATCACTGACGTGGTTTGAGCAGGACTTGTTTGCTTACAGAGAGTTTTAGTTCTTATTGTTGTTGGGTTTAATCTCAGTGATGCTCTGAGAAAGATGCTAATAGAATTGGTATGAACCTGCAAAGTTAACTAAAGTCAGTAGAGATAAATCAACTTGCATGAATTGAAAGTCTTGCCCCTTAATTTAATTTTCATATGCAATTATGAAGTTTTGTGTATGTATATTGTGTTGCTATATTTTTAATCCTTTCTTTTTTTGAAAACAAAATTGACCTAATGTGTTTTCATTAAAATGCAATATTCTGCTTCTCTCAATACCAGTCTTTGAAAAGCCTATTGATATTTGAAGTTACTGTCTTTCTTCTCTACTTTTAATTTACTTAATTTAGAAGAATGAATAAAAAATAGCAAGTTTTAACTCTCTTTCTTGAGAAGAGAATTATAATGCACAAGACATTTATTCAGTCAAATATTGACATCAGCTAAAGCTGCAATTAAGAAGTGGTTACACCTTTTTTGGAAATTTCTTCCCTGACAGATTTGACCTTTGTTGTAATTTTGTTTAAATCACATAAAATAATTCTGGACTGTTTAAAACATCAACAGCCAGAGAGGTTGGTATTAATGGTACATGATGGTGTAGCACTTAAAGTTCCTTGCTGCACAAATGGGATAGAATTGTTGAATTGCCTGTATTTTGCCAGGTTCTGCTCTAATCCCTCCTAGTATGAACCAGACATTGCCCTATTAGGTTTGATTTCAGCCCTTCTCTCCACTTCCAGAAGAGGCTTATACAATTCCTCTTTCCTTAAAAATTGTCCTGATTTTGAATCCACAATTAAAACCCCAGCACTTCATGCTGAAAAGCTGAAGAGTGGATTCCACCATTCTTCTTTTCTATACCCATGATGACTTTACAATTAAATCCTGTCCAAATTCTTCTGGTCAAAAGTGTGTGGACAGTCTAAGTCTGATCAGCTGTCACCTCCTCTGCAAAGCTCTCCAACAACCTCCTCTCTTCCTATCTCTCTCTCATTCATTGCATTCCTGTCCCTTTCAGGATAAGTTCTGTGATCCTATGGGACAATTTTATTCACTGCAATCCACTGGCACTAAGTATCCTGAGCCTTTTGCTTTAAAATAAAATATGTGTATTCAAGCTGCAAACTGGGAACAGCTTAGATCAGTCCAGAATGATCAAGTTCCATTGCTGATGATTTTATCTGAGAAAATTGAATTTTATTTCTTATGAATGTTATGATATGATGCACTGAAAATCTTCACACTTTTATTATTTCCTTGATCCACAAGTCCTGCAATTTTTTTTTTGTTCCTACTGTTACTACTCCCAGTTGCTTGGAGAAGTAACATCTTTTCTCCATACTGTTTCTCCAGGTAGTGTCAAGAATGATACCTGAATTTGTTTCTCTCCCTGAATCCTTTTCTTTTCCAAGCTCATCAAGTTTCATGCACTGAACATGAGAATTGCTCCCCTATGCACCTCTTACAGACAGACTCTGCCCTTCTTCTCTTCCATGATCCTGAGCATAGTGTCATGTAGTATCTGGGATCATTTTTGATTATTAGAGTCTCACTTTTCAATCTGTTCCATGTCTTTAGGAGTATGAAGGTCCTTGAACACTCTGCCTTTCCAAGATGTCCAAAAGAAAGGAACCCTTATTTTGATGAGTGGTTGTTTGACAATGTCAGACTGGTTTATCTGACAAAATCCAGCGGTGATAATGGATTGATTCATTTCCACTCTCCCATCTCCAGGCAGGAGCCGGGATATATTATTACATGAAACTCATGGGACTCTTTCAGTATGAAAATTGCAATACAAATATATTATTACCTATCTCAAAATACACCAAAATAGTCCCACACTCATCACTACAGTATATGAACACCTCTGGGATGATATAATAATGTAATAGATCTAAAAAAGGCAGTGTAATTATACCTCTGCTGCAATATTTCACACATACAGACTGTTCATAATGAATACTCTTTTACTTACTTTTGAAAGGATCTGTTTTCTTCAGTGAGAGATGGTGGGATAATTTATAGACAGGAGAGCTTTTTGATTGGGGAAATTATTAGACTTTAAATGAGGAGCACAGTGTTTACACTTGAGCAATCAATTGGCTCCTTGTACCTTATTACAATTCCTTAACAGTCAATGGAACCATAGAGTCATAGAGATGTAGAATATCCTGAGTTGGAAGGGACCCACAAGGATCATCCAAGTCCAGCTCCTTGCCCGGCACAGGACAACCTCAAGAATCCCTTCATGTGCCCAAATAACCTGAATAACCAGTTCAGACTGGTTTCTGAATGAACAGAACAATTAAAGTACCTTTCTGAAGTTGGACTGTTGTGCATTTTGGATTTTCCCTTCAGCACTGCATGTGAAGTTCCAAAACTGTACAAATTCCACGTGGCCTGAAGGCACAATTTTATTTTGTATATTTCCTTATATATAAATATTTACACATACATGTTTTAGTCACTAATTGTAACAAAAAGATGATAGTACAGCACACACACCAGTCTGGCACTGCAGTGCTGAAGGGAGCACAACAAAACTTGTGCATCTTAAGCAGCAGAAACAAAAGAGTGTCTGAATTCCTTAATACATAAATATGTGCCTGTTGCAGCTGCTTACCTGGGAAATGTTTTATAAAAAGAGGGAAAAACTCTTCAATAAAAGCTTAAATCCTTGTTCAGGAAACTATTGAATAGGGGGATTAGTTTTTGCACATATTTGAGTTTTGCTGCCTTCAGGAGGGCTGAGAAACATTCTGCAATTAAATAAATGTCATCATGGTAAAATAATGCATCTCTCTAAATTGGGAAATGTGAAACGATGGCTGCAATTGATTGGACTCCTCTCAAAGGTCAAATGCTGCCAAACGTTGACATTTGGTTTATTTTCTGTTGTTGTTTCTTCAATTGACTTTCCTTTTCGCAACACAACTGTTAAAAATTTCTTTGCAGCATTTTAATTCACAAATTTAATTATAGTTCAAGCACCTGCAAGCAGTTACTAGAATTTCCCTTTAACCATATTCTCTTATATGATCTTCACAAACACACACACACGCAAAACCCTAATTAAATTTTGTTTGTTTTCATGCCCAATTTGCAATTTCTGATTTCCCCTTTCTTCATTAATTAGATAAGGAAAAGCCAAAGGGTTTTAATTACTCCAGATATGTGTGAACACATCTTCATTTTCAATTAGAGGTGAGATAGGATGTTTGAAGAGAAATTAACACAGTAATTTTTTTTATTATTATCTTGACAGAAAACACACATATCATGAGATGCTATCAGCAGGTCTGTTTGCTCTTCTTGGGAATCTCTTGGCTATGTAGTAAATGGAAAGAAATTCAATTATAGGAGGAAGAAATGAAGGCCTAAATTTCCAACCATAGCTGTGAATGCAGCACCTCTGGCTTCTTTTAGCAGGATCATTCCCAGTTAGGCACAGTCTAATTTCACTAGTGGATGTTACTGGAGCTGTAATATGGCATTTGGTGTACACACCCTCCAGTGAAGAACACAGGGATTTCAGGGAGTTAAAGTCAGGCTTAAAATATACTGGTAGTCCACCTTCTTAATTTTATGAGCAAAATATGTATATGAATGGATATGAATTGCTCATAAAAGATCTTTCTAAAGGGAAGGAAAAGTCAATGGGATGATAAATGCCAATGAGTAGAGAATAAATATACTGGGAAAGGCCATGGGCAAAGTCCATAATAACTCACTGCTCATACCCAGTACTAAAGAAGTGAATGCCTTGGGTGGGTATCTACCACACCTTTGTTAAGAACAGCTTCTTAAATCACCAGGACATCACTGCACAGTGGCTCCTCTGAATTATTTGTCAGGAATGACAATGCCTCTGCCTTGTCTTCTTGTCCTCTTATTCTGTGTACTCTACAAAGCCTTTCAAGCCTGTCGTTTGTTCTCTGTTCAGAATAATGTAGAAGTGGATGTCGAAACTAAAGTTGTCAGAAACATTTAGAGATGAATAAACTACAGCATAAAGGAAACTATTTGTGTATGCCATGGATTAACTTCACCTGGTTTTAGGAAATTGCAGATGTACCCAGGACATTAAATATATTTTCTTCCTCATAAATTATGCAAAGAAAATAATACCAACTTTAATAGAGACATCTCTCCAAAATGAAGCAATCTCAAATCACCAACACTGCTCTGTTTGTTCTATTGTTGTTAGGCCAGAGATCTTTTGGGACTATGAAATCCACACTGGCTTTAGATTTGCAAAGTCACAAGTGGAAAGAAAAATCAAACACCCTGTCATTTCACCATATTGCAGCACTGAACTGGTGGTCTGCTTCAAAATTATATAGGCTAAAACCCCTTCTAATATTTGGAACAATCAAGATACAGAAATTTATATCCAGTAACACATTTGTTAGGTTTTTATTGTCACTGCAGTCTAAAAGGATTTAGGATTTATGAAGTCTTAAGGGTAACACTGGTCAGGACACAAAGGCTGTGGAAATTTAACAGTGTTTGGGCACTGACCCAAGCAGGTGAAATATATCATTGACACTTGATCTCAAAAGTCCTTGGCAACCTTTGGGTCTCATCTACTTCACAGTGTTCTAAATAACAGCAAGGCAGAGCTCCAGAGTCAGTCCAGTCCAGGACTATTTGGGAGCTTGGATGTAGGCACCATATTGAAGGCTTGGAGAGTTTAGTATGTGTGCGTGGTAAGACTATTTGGGGGGATATCAGGGCTGGAGGCCAGACCTTGGAAAGTCCTTAGCTGAGGTATAACTAAGGTGAGGACAAACATCTCATTCTATGCACCTTGGACACTCACCTTTAATCATGGAATCATGGAATGGTTTGGGTTGGAAAAGGCCTTCAAGATCATCTTGTTCCAAATCCCTACCATGGGCAGGGACACCTTCCACTGTCCCAGGTTGCTCCAAGCCCTGTCCAACCTGGCCTTAGACACTTCTAGGGATGCTGGGAGTCTCCTCCTTTGGGGAGTGCTTGGCACTGTCACCTGACAGAGGCAGGATCCTCTGTGGTTTGCTCAGTCTACCAGGTGTCTTGGAGGCTGAGGGATAACAAGGCAAGTAATGCCACTTGTAGGATTCCTTGTGTCATCTTGCACAAATTCTTCAGACTTTGTGTCATTCATTTTCCCCAGTTAATGAGAAGGGATAATGTCTGGCAGACTTTGCAAATGTCTGGGTTAGAAGGGTTGTGAAAGGGGGTTTTAGTGTGTCTGTGATCACTGCTTTTTTAATGGTTTGGGTTTTTAAAGCCCTAAGTTCCGGTAGAGATAATTAGAGCTTACCCAGATCTAGTTCAATAGCACTGTACTACAAGTCCTAAAGGCTGTTTTTTCAATGGGGAGGGTATTTTGCCCAAATTTCCTTCAATAGTTCTGAAATCTATATGCAGTCACCTAAAATACGTGTCCTGGTTTTGAAAGGACTGAGCTTTCACCACTGCTGGTTAAATGAACTTCTGAATCCTCCCTGCCATGGGAAATGAGATCATTTGTTTGTCAGGATTTACATTGGCTTTGAAGGATCAATGAAACCAGGATTTCTGGAAGCCATGGGTGATTTTTGTGTCCCTCCATTGTAAAGTGGGGCATTCAGACAGAGATGTGACAAAGGAGTTTGAATTCTGAAAGGTACCACACAGTAGCCCTAAGAAAATCAGGTCTTTTTAAGGTGTTCCAAGTCAGACATGCAAAAAGAAAGGTCACATTTAAAACCCACCAAAGATATCCACAGGTAATTATCACCCTCACAATTCTCCAGTTTTAATTAATAGAGAATGAATTATTCCATAGAGGGTGAGTTTAAAAAAAAAGGAAAAATAGATGCAGGGTGGGAGTGACGGAGGAAATTAAACTAAATTTCAGCAATACACAGATACTAGTTCAGGTCCAGGAAATATAATTATTTCAAATCAAACCCAAAGTTAATGATAACAACACAATGGAATTTGGTTTTCTATAATAATTTCAAACTGAAGGTATTCAGAAGCTTCTTTTCTCTTTCTTCTTTTTAAATTTATTTTTATTTTTAACAAAGTAAATACATGAACTGCATGCTTAACTACCATTGAATGCTGTAAAAAATATTTATGAATTTATTTGACAGTCAACAACATGGCCTGTGGCAATTAATATTTTTTATTTACAGAACTCAGTGCTTATAATGGACAACTAATAGGCATGCTTAATTGGCTTTTAACTACTGGTATCTTGTTAGAGTATTTTCCTGTTTGCCCAATGGCAGCAACATTCCTGAGGATTTCGATGTGAGTTTAATATGTTGCTGGCTTTTAATTACATTTTTATTGCTTATGCAAATGCTGCTCATTTGTATGGCAAGTGAGGGTCAGTAACAAGGACAGTTTGGGCACGTTTCTCTACTCAGTGCCTGCACTCAACAGCATTGGAACTTCTTCGTGTTCAATTTTCCTCAGTGTGGGAGAACTGACCCCTTCTCCAAGTCCTTGTGGAAGAGTTCATGTCAGGAGTGCAGACATCCTCACTGGTGGGTGGTGATCCAAGCTTGGATTGAATTGTCACTCTAAGAATTGTTGTCTTTGCAGGCAGCAGCCATAAAGTAAAGCTGGAATCCCCTGGAGCTACCAGCTTGTGTTTATGGACTGACTTCACTGTTGCTGGTAGATGTGGATTCCCCATCCCTGGAAGTGTCCAAGGTCAGATTGGACAGGGCTTGGAGCAACCTGGGATAGTGGAAGGTGTTCCTACCCAGTGCAGGGGGTTGGAACTGGATGAACTTTCAGGTCCCTTCCGACCAATTCTATATTTCCATGAAAAACGCTGGCCAGGCAGAGGCAGAAACTGCCATTGAGGTTGTATACTCTGTCCTCAGAGCTGAAGGGTCTGGCACCATTATTTTATGGCCTATTTCTCTCTCCTCTTTCCCTGCTTTCTTGGAAATAGCATCTCTGGAAAGGACATAACCCAAACAAACAACTGTGCAGAGTAGGTTCCATAAAATCATTGAGGATGGAAAAAAACTACAAGATCAACAAGTCCAATCTTCTACCAAGTATCTCCATGTCCACTAAATCATCACAAAATGCCACATCTAATCCCCTTTTTTGAAGTCACCAAC